CTTCCCACCAGTATGGTCTTGGAAGCACGTGTGTGGTAGGATCGGTAGGCTTAGGCTCATGGTCGGATGAAGAACGAGGAGACTCAGATGATGATGACTCAACCATATTCCGTGTACTATAAAAAATTTACAAATTAATTCATTGCTATGATTAATTTAATTTCAAATAATTTACATGTCTTCTACAATATTTAAAAAATATTAAATTAAAAATAATTTTTTTCTAATTCTAATGTGCATCAATGAGCACAATGTATTCGTCATGTGTGCCATAAGTCACTAACCAGCGTAAAATAAATTAGACTAACTACGATAAAAATTAATGGACAGCGTAAAAGTATATATGCAAATCTATTTGATTAAGTATGAATAAAATTTCATATGCATATATCATAAATTACTAAAATTCTCCCAAGTCGCTAATTATAACCTAAGTCTCTAACCATATCGCAAAAGTATATCCTGCATCACTTTTCATACAATAAGTTGCTAATAATTTCCTAAGTAATTAATAATTTTCTAAGATACTAACAATTTCCTAAGTTATTAATAATTTCATCTATCAGTAGTATAACATATCAATTGTTGTAATTCAATAATATAGAAAACAGGTATTAAAACTTATGTGAGTGACAAAGTTTCGCTACACAAAAAACTCAAGGACAAATGTGGAGAGTGAAAGTAAAATGGCCTTGAAGGCCGTAGCATGTGAAAGAGAAAAACAAAATTTTTCATATGCGGAATTACACATGCAATCAAGAATCATGCTTTATGGCATGTGATGTTACCTTTGTTTGTGAGTTCAAAACTCCAAGACGATTAGTGTTAGGTTTGAAGGGTTCAAACCCTCTAACGTTGATCTACACCACCCACGTCAAGATGCAAGAACGCTTTCTTGAAAGCCACCAATTGACCACCACAGAGAGGCTTGCTATGCGCTCAATAGGTGAAGAAGGAGGTTAGGAATATGTGTTTAGAAGAATGAAGTCTCCAACATGAAAACTTCACAAGAGTGGGAATGTTGTATAGAAGAATTGACTAGGTTCTTTTGAAAAACCTTAAGGAGGAACTCACCAACTAGGCGCACAAGAGAGAGAGAGAATTAGTGTATCAAATCAAAATTTTTTACTTTACTTATAATGAAAGTGGCGCACAAGTGAGTGAGACAAAGGTGGAGTTGTGCAATTCAAAAATCCCAACAACCTCTCCTTTGAATCCTCATAAGACTAGGTCTTTATCTAGTCAAAATTCTGAACCAATGGTCATCATATGACCACCAATTCATGCGCCCCTATTTAGCCCAAAAAGGGTCCAGATACATTTGAGCTGTTGCATTCAAGTTTGAACCAACTAGGTCACTGATTCTCTCAACAACCAAATCTGATTGGAGCTTGTTGGTTTGACAAGATGACAATCATCTCCCACCAAAATGGCGCCCCAAATCAACCCTTGGAGATCTCCATAGATCTTCTCTTGATACAAGGGATTTGTTCCAACAAGATCTCATCTTATCCTTTTGTTATGAAACAACTTTTCACAGCCAATTCAAACATTTAAATTCAAACGTTCAAACATTTAAATTCTAAATTCAAATTCAAATTTCAAATTTCAAATTCAAATTCAAATTTCAAATTCAAAATTCAAATTTCCAAATTCAAATTCAAAATTCAAATTTCAAATTCAAATTTCAAAATTCAAATTCAAATTTCAAATTTCAAATTTCAAATTCAAAATTCAAAATTTAAATATTTGATAATTAATTTAACTAATTAAATTAATTAGTAATGTCTTGGACCATCCAAGCCCATTAACAATACCATGCGCCCTATCCCTCTTAGGTGGGCTTCCAAACTTCATCTTGGGCTAATAACCATTATTAGGCCCAATACCTTTAATGCTATATCATCATGACATTAAGGTGTTAGTGTGTGACCCATTAGGTCCAACATAGCCACTGACATAAATGGGCTCGGACCCAACAAGCCCACAACCCATTTAATGACAACACAGAGCACTAGCAATGCTTTGTTGCCCCAGAGCTAGTTAGATTAATGAATTAATCATCCTATTACACATATTTGGTTGCCGTATGTATTTCTTTTCGTCTCGGTTACCTTCCCATAAAACCTAGGGTAAGGAAGCGTATCAACCCTTGCGTTTTAGGGTAAGCTTTATTCGAAATAGTGAATCTTCAATTTACTGACTCTAAAGGCAGATCATCTCATGATCTCTTTTACTATGCATAGTTCCCGAGTCCCTGTAAATGTCATCCCGATTTCTTCGGTTTACAGATAACCTAATCTCTCACAGAGATTTGACGAATTCCTTCAGCTTATCACCCTAGCCCTGTGCTATTTCAGGACAAGCCCAACAGTATACCTATGAGTCTCCATGTTTCAGGCAGACGAGGTATACAGTCAAAGCATGCCTTCTAGAACACAGTCTAGGTAATAACTTCTGGTCTAAGGAAAGACATACCCAAATATAAAGAGACTACTCTAATGATACTCTCTGTGAGATTTCCTCATAGAGTCTCTTTTGTGGTCTGTTCGGTGCGAGCTATACCCTTATAGATCCACCCACGACTTTAGCTAAGACATCTCCATATCTGTAGCTCATGAGGTCTTTACCTTGCATCCGAATACAAGTAGATAAGTCGTGCTAGTCTTACCCGAGATCACTGATCCCCATTCTCAGTGTCTCTAGACTACGAATATAAAATTAGGAATAAATATCAAGTATCCTTAAATCCTCATGATCGTGATCTCATCACAGATACTCAAGAGATACCTATTTTATTCCAAGGGGTTTATCCAGTTACTCATATAAAATATTAACAGTAATATTGAGACAAAATATGAAACAGGATAAATAGTGCTTTTATTTATTTGCGACAATACAAAGGTCCACATATGTCCTAATCTAATTAAAAGATTGTCTCTAGGACATCCATATACTAACAGAGAGAAGTCAGAGAAAAATTATAGAGAGAAGGTAGAGAGATAGTGTAAAGTGCAAAATATGAAAAATGAGATTTTTATAGGGGGCATGAGTCTTAGCTCCAATTGGACGAGACTAGATTTGCCTAGATTGAGCAAAACTCCCCAGCCTATTTTGCCTAAATTGGGCAAAATTTGATATAATAGATCCGTAAATTGGTTCAAAATAATTATGTATCCGTTATTTTCTATTAAAATAGTTATATATTATTTCTCCCCTTAAGATAGAAGTCAAATTATGCATCTTTGTATTTTTAAGCAATTAGAGGACAAAATAATCATCATACAATAACATTTAATAGTGCAAGTTGAAATTAATAGAAGACTATAAGTGTTTTAAATATGGAAAAAATATGTGTCATTTTAAAGAATGTAAAGTTATGTAATTTTAAGTGAGAGAAAGAGATAGATCATGAGGAGAGAGTGGACAAAAAAATAAAATAAATGTATGATCTTATTTCTTTGTAAGAGTAAAATGATATAAGTTATGTAATTTAAAAGGATAAATACTTTTCCTTTTAAATATTAGAAAAAAAGTTTAATGAAAATTAAAAATTCTAAAGAAAATGTTATCAGTATTTATAAAGTTTTTCCTATTTTAATAAAGGGGAAAATGTAAGAGTTACATAAAAGGAATGAAATTTTTTTTCCTTGCAATCACAAGTCTCATCCATAACAAAACCTTTTTTTTTTTTTAATTCGTGAATTCCACTTAAAGTTGTGTATCTAGGAAATAAATTTTATAACTCTTAACATTTCTCTTTAATAAATATGTTTATTATGTGAAGCGAGGGTCCGGTTTCTTTTGTTTATTTTTTCCGGTTGCATTTGGCTTAGTTGAAACTTGATTTTTTTTTTTTAGTACACTATTGAAACTTGAAATTATGCACGACTTAATGGAAATTCTTATCGGGGAAAGATATTATAACAATCAAGTTGTGTTACTACCATGTTATTACCAAACAATCTCACCGTTAGATCAATTATGTTGATCTAACAGTTATATTTATTTCTATCTTTATATGGTTATGATTTTTTAAATTTAATACTTCATATTTATTTCTACCTTTGTATGATTATGATTTTTCATATTTAATGCTTTCACTTTAAATTTGGAGAATCATAACCATACAAAGATGAAAATAAATATAACCGTTGGATCAACATAATTGATCTAACGGTGAGATTGATTAGTAGTAACATGGTACTAACACAACTTAATTGTTATAATATTTTTTTCCATTCTTCTATGACAAACTGTTCGATGCATCGAAAAGCGAGCCATGGTTGAATATGGGTGGACTATTGACGCAAGTCAGGCATTCATGCTGCGTTTCCCAGTTTCATTGAGGACAAAAATTTTAACTACATCTTGAAAGGGAAGGATGTTATAATAATTAATTTTACTATTAAATTAAGGAAAATATTTTTATTATGTTGATGTAGATAAGATATCTTACGTTGGTGAAACAAAATAATAGGCGAGACCCACAAATGATTGGAGAGAGAAAAAATAAAAGTAGGACCCATCTTTGTTATGTGTGTGTAGGAAAATAGTTTATCTCGTATTGAATGAGATAAATATAATCCTTAAATTAATTATGTTGTTTGAATATTTATATTTATTTTTATATGATTATAATTTATCATATTTAATATTTTATATTTATATTTATTTTTGTGTGATTATGATTTTTTATATTTAATTATTTAACATTAAATATAAGGAATCATAACCATACAATGGAAATAAATAATCGTTGGATCAACGTAATCGATCTAACGGTAAAATTAATTGATAATAATATTAATTGGTTGTTACAATATCTCATCACATTTTAAAATATTATTTTAAGATAAATGTAATATATCCTCATTTGATAAGAAAAGAAAAAAAGAAAAAGAAAATTGCCTTGTTTCCAAATAGAAAGAAGACAAAAGACAGAGTAATGCAAAATTAAAACACGTAACCATGTTCAATTCATTTCAGTCCCAATTGAATCCTTCTCTTCTCTTCTTTTCTTTTCTTTTCCTCTTCGAGAAAATATAAAAGAAAAATTTTCCTTCTGAAATCGCAACAACGAAACGCAAGCTCAAGATTCCCGCCAAAACCGATGCTAGGGTTCTCTCTTCCGCTTCAGCTTCGCCGCTACCACCACCACCATCAACCTTTGGTTCAAAACACTAGAGTACCCAAACCATTCTATCCACCGATTCCTTCTTTTCCTCAATATCCGCCACGAACTGTTCCCGGATTGCGAGCGAGTTTTTCGGTTGGTTGCGGTACGGGCTCGCCGGTATTTTCGTCGCCGGAGGATGAGTTGGACGTGGAGCTGGGGCGTCTGCTGGCGCTGTTGCCGGAGGAGATGCGGCGGCGAGTGAGCGACCACCCGGAGGTGCAGCAGTTGATGGAAGTGGTGATGGATTTGGGTCGGAAGCCGCTGGCTAGGTTTCCCTCCGGTGATTTTGTGATATCGGATTATCCTATTACGGTTCAGGATATCGAGCACGCCACTGCCCAGGTATTCGAACACAGTGCCCAACACCTGTTTGATGTATTTTTCCCCTTGATTGACTTCGTGATTAAACCAAACTGATTTTAATTGGAAAAAATCGAACTATAAAACCTGAAAACCGTACTACACTGATTAGTTTTCGTTTCGTTTTGTTTTCTTTAAAAAAAAAAAAAAAACTGATGGTTTCCGTCACGGTTTCTATTTTTAAAACTTAACCAAATAAATTAAACTATATATGTTTTTGATGATATTTCTTTGAGGACTTTTAGGTCATTTTCATGTTAATTTGGCCGTGAAAACAAGAAAGTGAAGTGAGGTCTTAATTTATTCAAGAAAAAAAAGTGATTGTTCAAAATCCAACTGGATACTGTCAAAGGAAAACTAATTGGTCCCGAACATCATAGGAAATTCAGTTAGTTTGGTTTGGATGATTTTCTCCCTCGGAACCTAACCAATTCAAACCATAGATGTTGTGGGGATTTAGATGCTCTTATTTTTCTTAAAAACGTGACCATGTCATGTTTTGAGAGAGAAAGACATAAACTACTTCTGTGCAGGTCTCTTCACAGAAGAATGTATATTTCTCAGTCAGACAAGGCATTGACGCAGTCATGTGCTTAAGAAAAACAAGAGAATCAGGATGCTTATTGTGGACTCCACATATGAATTGAGTGTGCTCACCATGGACACCTGTGCTCATGCAAGTATATCTTGACAGTTAGTTTATCTTATAGTAGTAATCGTCTTATGTGCCACCTAAGGGGTAGTTGGGGTCTGTGGTAATTTGATTAAAGTGCCTAAGTTCAAAGTTGTGCTAACAACTCCCATTGTATCCAAAAAAAGTAATAATCTATTGTTGCTTAGAAGGATGGAAGATAGATTTTTTAGGATTGGACTAGGACCCCTAAGATCTTTACATTTAAAATTGATCATGGAAGGAGATAATTATAACTGCCAATTCACGAGAGGGAGCAACCCCTTGCAGGTTGGTGACTTTGCTATTGATAATCGAGCAGGAATCAGCAGGACATTGCATCGGATTAGTGCTATCAGAAATCGCAAGGGTGCAATTATTGGTCTAACTTGTCGAGTTGGCAGGGCAATTTCAGGAAGTGCTAAATTGTTGCAAGATTTGGTTCAAGATGGGGCTTCTTTGTTGCTCATTGGTCCTCCAGGGGTAGGCAAAACTACAATTATTAGGTCAGTGATTTTTTTCCTATTTTAAAAGTCAAGCTAGATTTGGATCGGATGGTTACATCACTAAAGTGTATAGTTATTATGCTTCCTTCCTTTTCCTGGTTGTTCTGTGAATATTCTGGGACAGGGTTCTATCTTTTATTAAAGCTCCATTCTCGTTAGCAAACTATGCTTTTCGGAAATTGATAGGATTGATACTCAGAAAAATAAAGAAACAAAGAAAATAAAAATGAAAGAAAATTGTATTGATGAATTGAAGCAACAAGACTTGCACATGCTTTTACAAAAGAAAAATGAGAATGTATTACAATGGAAAATTAAAAGAACATTAACAAAGACAGATATCTGAGTATTCGAGAGACTCAGTGCTCTCCCTGCCCAATTCCAAGTTAAGTCCCAAGATGCTAAGCCATTCCCGTCCATCCTTCTTATAGTCCCCTCCCCTAAGTAACCAAAACCCACTCTCCCTTTCATGCGCCCTGAAATGTGAGTTAGTTATGAAGGTGTTGATCACGTCACTTGCACAGGGAGACTCCGTTAATTTTGTTCATAGTTGCATTAGGGAGACTCGTCTTACACTTGAAGGTCGAAGTTTGCTGGATGTGTCAACACCGTCACTTGCACATTCTTCATCGGCGATTGATCATCTTCTTTTTTGTTCTGAATTTTCCATGCAACAACCCAAATTTAGTTTCCTGAATGAAGATGTCGGTTGCGCATCACAATCTCTGTTTTTGTTTTCAAAAATTCCAGTTCATCTTCCTCCTCCTGAGTCTCGAGCGTCTTGTCTCCTCGCTTGGTGTTCTAAAGAATCTCATCCTATGATTGAAATAGCGCCGCTTTAGCGCGCATTAGCGCTTCAGTTGCGTGTTGCGGCACCCAACCACTATTTTCGCACCGCTACGCGACGGTTTCCGGTAGCGGTCAGTAGCGGCTGGTTGCGGCGGTGGCGGACGGAAGCTCTTGTGGCGCTATCGCACCCCTACAGGGAAAGGAAGAGAAGTTACAGACATTCAGGGGAGAAAAAGAAACGTAAAAAGCACGGGTGGCAGCATTTTGTAAATCTGAGTATCATTTAAGGGTATAATAGGAAAAGGCCAGAATAAGTGAGGGGTAAAATAAATATTTTATTGAAAAAGCCAGCGTTTTTTTTGGGTAACGTCATCACCTTCCTTTTTCTTCATTGATTTTGCTGCCAGCTTTTGGGAAATGTGTCCGTAGCAGTGCTTGGTTTGATAAAATTTAATAATGCCACCAAATACATCAACATCAACATCAACAACACCTTTATCCCAAATTAATTGGGGTCGGTGGTAGATGAACCCACATGAAAGATACAAAACGGTTGAAAAAAAGTAAAAAAAGCAAAAAATAAATAAATAAAAATAAACAAATAGAATAAAAGAATAAAATAAGATAAAATAAAATAAAATAAAAATAATATAAAATAAAATAAAAATATATGTATATATAAATAAATAAAAGTAAAAAAGAAAGGGACAAGAAGAAGTGGGGGAAATGAAGGGGAAAAGGACTAAAAAGGGACCATCTGGAACATAGGAATAACAGCGGGTCTAACCCTCCACCATACTTATAGCTTTTCTCCATTCCGTTCTAAGACATACTGTCCGTCAATCTATATCCCACTCCATTAAATCTTGTTTTACTACCTTCCCCCAAGTAAGCTTCGGCCTACCTCTGCCTCTTTGTGTGTTTAGCTCTTGGTAACAAACTTCTGTTCTTACAGGAGCATCCATGGGTCTTCTCATCACGTGCCCAAACCACCTCAATCTATGCCACCAAATACATAATTAAAAAAAAAAGAAATAGTGGGAAGAAGTCAAGAGAAAAAAAAGTTGTAGGTGATGCTGCAGCTACTGTTCAGATTCTTGGAAACTGAGTTTTGATAGCTCCTTCTCCTAGTTCACTGCATCATTACCCCTATTCTCCTCTTTCCTATTTTTATTTATAATCATAATAACAATAATTTCAAGTCCCATTGTTTTCCTATCCACCAATTCACATTTTAATCAAATATATTTATTTTTAATAGTCAAGATTTATATTAGAGTAAACACCCTTTTTAGTCCCTTGCAATATCTACGAAGTCCTTTTCAGTCCTTGGCAATAAAAAAGGACCAAATTGATCCCTGAAAGTACAAGAAAAGGGCCACTCTACATATTTGGGAGTTGACATAAGGACTAACATGGCTCTTTTTTTGTAATTTCAGGGACCAATTTGGTCCTTTTTTATTGCCAGGGACTAAAAAAGACTTCGTAAATATTGACAGGGACTAAAAAGGGTGTTTACTCTTTATATTATATACTTTAAATAAATTATAATTTGCATGATCTTCTAATGTAATATAAAAATAATTTGTTACCAGAATATCTATATATATATAATTTAAATGTTTACATTTTATATTAAAATAGAAAATTACAAAATTATTATTGTTGATTTATTCATTAATATTTAGAATTCTCTCACATAAAATAAATCATACTAAATGATACATGAGATAATTGATCTTTTGAAGTAATAAGAATGACCTTAAAAAAATGTGTTTGGCTGTATTGTTATTAATTTAGTTACTTTCATTGAATTAATATGTTGGTTCCTTTATGTTCCTTGAATCCTTGTTTTGAATGTGTAGTATTATATTTTCCATTCCTCATTTCCTTCTATTTTGGGTGATTTCTTATCTTATAGAATTTATACAGTATTTATATATGTGGTATAATTTATTATAAGTAAATATGGACTTCACAGTAGCGGCTTTACCGCTACCCGCTATAGCGTTTTGGGGGTCGCCCGCTACTGTCCGCTACCCGCTATTTAAAACTATGATCTCATCAAAGAGTCTGAGTATCTCCTTATGATTTTCTTCAACTTGCCTCTCTCTTTTCTTCCAATCTTCAAATCTGTTTTCCATTTTTTTTTCTGGTTTTAGGCTCTTGGATCAGGAGCTCTGATACCAATTGATAGGATTGATACTTAGAAAAATAAAGAAACATGGAAAGAAAATAAAATGAAAGAAAATTGTATTGATGAACTGAAGTCACAAAACTTGCACATGCTTTTACAAAAGAAAAATGAGAATGTATTACAATGGAAAACTAAAAGAACATTAACAAAGACAGATATCAGAGTATTCGAGAGACTTAGTGCTCTCCCTGCCCAATTCCAAGTTAATTCCCAAGATGCTAAACCATTCCCGTCCATCCTTCTTATAGTCCCCTCCCCTAAGTAACCAAAATCCACTCTCCCTTTCATGCCTCCTGGAATGTGTGAGTTAGTTATGAAGGTGTTGATCCCCTGTGGTTGCACCTATGATACACCCTAGTAATGGGTGGTATCCTGACAGAAACACATACTTTCATAGAGAATATGATGTTATATAGTTGGTGTCTACTTATGAGCTCAAATTCTGAAGTACAATTTGTCTCTCACTGTCTCTCTCTCTTTCACTTCCCTCTTTGTCTAGTTAATATTTGTATTCAGAATCAAGGCTCTGACTTCTGCAGTTCTCCATTCCTTGGAGGCCGTGATCTCTTTTGGTCTTTAAAAAAAAAACAGATATTTAGTTTTTTTTTTTTTTGACAATTCTTTAATTATGTACAATGGAGAACTGCCAGGTATACTTGGATCATTTTAATTTGATTACATAATTATTATTATTATTTTCTATAATGTACTTTTACCTCCTTCAGATTGAACATATTCTGTATTTCATTCTATATTTTCAGAGAAATAGCTCGTATGCTGGCAAATGATTACAAGAAGCGTGTGATGATTGTTGACACCTCCAATGAGATTGGGGGTGATGGTGATATACCTCATGCTGGAATAGGCAGTGCTCGACGTATGCAAGTTCCCAACTCTGATATGCAACATAAGGTATTAGTTGCGATTGTAGAAGCTTAACCTCTTGTTTATTTATGTGTAAAGTTAGCTTTATTCAGTGGTAACTGAGAATATATCTGAGAAGGATTGGAGCTTATTCTGAGCTTTTTCAATGCAAGTTCTTCAAAATATTATAGAATGACAAAATGAGAATTCATTATCATCTTAAATGAAAGTCTTCCAAAGTGTTTCCAGATCCTCCTGAATCCTACTTAGTCCTACTTATATAGTGATATATGATTTATACTAGAACCAACTGCAATTTTTTATTTGGTAGGTTGGCATTTTACCAATGTTGTCAAAACCATGATTCAACATATAGAATCGCACAACTTTATGTGTTTACCTGCGTTGAATGATACTTGTAAAGAACAATTTCAACTCAAAAGTTTAAGCTGATGAGTGAGGTTACATTAATGGTTTTTACTGTTCTCTAACACTCACACGAGAGCCCACTGGACTTGAAGGGTGGACAATGTACAGGCCTATCTACCTGTGTTAAGAAACTCTCCAAGACTTAATTAATTATTAATTAAATGGGAGGTGGTGAGGATCGAACCCGTGACATCGAGTCTCTGATATTATGTAAAGAACCAATTCAATCCAAAAGCTTAAATTGTTAGGTGAGGTATTTGGGCTGGGATTATGATCATGCTTTAGCATGTAAAATTGGCAGGGTTGCGAGATCCCGCAAGATTCTGGCTTAAACCCACAAGAAAAACAAATCAAGCTTCCTGAAAAACTGTAAACTTAGTGTTGCGACAGAAATGGAGTGCTTAGACAAGAGCAGAGTGCTTTCAACCAGAGCAGTGTTCTGCAACTGGAGTCTTCTTCCTGAGATGTTGCAACTGGAGTTTTCTTTTTGAGTGTAGTGACTTATACTGGAAAGTGAGGGATATGATTTGGATTCATTGCAGCAGCAAGTTAGTACAGTATAAAGCTTAGTTGTCATTTTTTTAGCCATTAGGTGAGGTGAGTGTCATATTATATCTATCCCTTTACTTGTTTTTGTCTTTTATTTCCTATCCCAATTAAAGTGTCACTATTATGTATTTTGAACTATAATATTTTAGTTATGGTTTTTAAGGTTTTAAATGTTATTTTTGTGTGGATATATTTTATGAATATAATTTAATATTAGTGATAGGATCTTCCATTTCCGTGTTACAATCTCACACTTTACGTATCTACTTTCCCTGTTTGATGCTAGGTAGATTCTACAAGTTTGACAACCTTGGGTAAAATTATAATACCGACATTTTGGCATATACCGCTTTAACACACTGAGGTTAATATTGGCCTGAGGACTAGTAATAGTTGGAAGTTTTATTTTAGTTTAAGAAGTTGATTGGATACCACTCTAGAATTAGTTCTGAACTGCAAAAGTTTGGCTATCTTTATATTAATTACCAAAATTACTTTTAGGTGAACATTTGCAAACATAAGACTCGTTCTTTCAAATTAGTTATTCCAAACTATCTTCCACTCAAGTAATTTTACACCAATTAACCATGCATGCACGAAGAAAGCTTTCCAAACCATGTTATATATAACAGAATGTATTCTTTTGGAGGGAAGCAACCAAAGAGCAGAATGATTGATAAGAGTGATAACTCTCTTTGGAGTCTTTTTCATTCCATTCCTTACTTGTTACTATTCCTTCTTATTTCCATTAGTGCATCCCAAAAGAAGTTCTTTTTGGTTATAAAAGGCACGTTTCATATTTATAATCTGACCAGTGTCCCTATGTTTATTGGATTGTATTATTCAGGTATTGATAGAGGCGGTTGAAAACCACATGCCACAAGTGATTGTAATTGATGAAATTGGTACAAAACTTGAAGCAATGGCTGCCAGCACTATAGCACAACGAGGGATCCAGCTTGTTGCCACTGCTCATGGTGTCACAATTGAGAATCTGATAATGAATCCCTCATTAGAGATGCTTGTTGGAGGAATACAGGTGAGATATACCTACATCTAAAGCAAGATGCCAAGTTGATTTGTGGTATATTACATTTGATTTAGATTTAGCATTTAAAATTTTGTTTGATCTGATGTGGATTTCCTTAAGGAAACACTGTTTGTTACTGAGTATTTCCTATTGGAGGTTATAGATGTGAATCTTGTTGGGAATCGTTCAGTGAATGGGAGGGGATAGTATGCCCTTTATAGTGTTTGTGTAGCCCCCAATGAAACAATAATGAAAATGACATGGGCGCTGGCAGGCGTTTGTTTACTTACACTCAGAGTTCTCTGCTGTTACACCCTCTAACTAAACTATACTTTTCTAGTGGTTGTGTTCCTTATGAAGTGTTTGGGAGTTAGGAGAGAAAGGAAAGGGAAGGGAAGGGAAGGGATAAAGAGTGAAGGAAAGGAAGGGTAAGAAAGGAAGGAAAATGAAGGGTAAATATCCTTTGGATGATACAAATTTACAAGGGACAGGAAATGGAGGGTTAGTTAAATTAAAAATTAAAAATGAATAATTATAACATAAGTTTTCAATTTTACCCTTCTCTTATGGAAAACTAACATAATTAACTTAATATAATTTTTGTTTCATAAATTTTTTTACGAGAATCAAACCCTAAAATTTTTCTCAAATATTTTCTCTCTCAATTTTTTTTTCTGTGAAAATAATCTCTCTCTCTCTCTCTCACACAATATTAGACATATCACCTATTATTATTTATTATATGGATATGCTACTCTTTCTTGTGTAGTTTTGACTAAAAATAAATGCAATCAAATTGCTTGTATGCTTTATGTCAAACAATGCAAGAAAGAAAATTATTTTATCTGGAGGGAATCTACGTAATCAAAGTTGGATTAATTATGGATTTTAGTATAAATAAATATTAGTTCTTTGAAAATCACATCACGTATAACACATCAAATCAATACCAAGTTCATATTTTTTAGTTTTTATTATCTTTTTTTTTCTCCGTCCAAATTCAAATCCTTATAATTTCAACATAGTATCCTCCATGATCTGTCCCATCACTATTTCGCATCGAGTTATTTAAAATCTAAAACTCTTTTGTAATGATAACATTATCTATATGATTTTTTTTCTTGTCTCTCAACAAACCCTAAACTAGTTGCGCTCACTGCCTAGTAGCAAATATTTCCAAACTTGTCGTGCCCATTGCACAATGATCCTTTTCTCCTCGTGGCACCTTAATATCGGCAAGTCGGTTTTTCCGCACCTCCTTTTGGCAACTCGTCTCTGCAGTGCTCCTTGACCTTTTTTCCTATATGTGCTCTGGCCCCCCATCTTTGTGGTGGATGCTCTAGCCCTGTTTGCTTGTCCCTACTCAAGACGTTCCCTTCCCACTGATGATTATCTTGTGACTTCTTTCTTACCAATGAGTTATACAGTGATAAATTAGTGATGATGGTGATTTCTCCTATTTCGCTAATGATTCAATTTCAATTTTTCGGGTGTCCTAAGTTTCTTTTCTTCTTGTTTTTTTTTTAAATGGTTTGGAGCTTCCAAATGTTGTTCTTAGACTTGGTGATTCCTCCACTCGACCTTGTTCGTAAATGTTGTTTTTGATGAACCTGGAGAAGTTTCAGCTCTTGTGTATAATTGCTTGCTAGGACATTTTTGCTAATGATCATTTCAACGAAGTCTCTTCTTCCTTAGCCATGCAACATTTCAACTAGCTCTTTAGGCTGACGATCATTCTAGCCATCTTCTTGTGTTTCTTGTCAAGTAATGCTCAGCTCTCGTACATCTCTTGCATCCCTGACTTGCCTTTCAAGCCACGTTTTGCGGAGCCCAGATTGTATTATTTGGTTATTTTGCATCTTTAAAGGGGTCATTTATATGTATGCTTTAGCTTTAAGAAAAATGTTAGAATATATGAGAAATATCTCATAATATCCTGATTTTATCTGAGAAAAGTTTAATGTATCTTATATGATCTCTTAGGAATAATTTTCTTATTATTTTATATTTTACTATTTGTTTTATTATTTGTCTAATATTAGTATAAATAAGAATTAAGGCTTTGTAGATCACATCACATCATAAAACATCAATTCAATGCTAATTTCATATTATTCAGTCTTTATTCTCTCTTTTCTTCCTTCCGAACTAAATCCTTGTTATTTTATCATACTGAATGAATTTAATGGAAAAGATTAAATTTAACAATTGAAACGATAATTTCTCCAATAGTTATATACATTAAGTGTACTGTAATGTGGTCCAAAGTCTGTGTTTATGCATTTTCCCCCTCCATGTTCTAATAAAAATAATTTAGAGTCACCATAAACATCTAAAATTATGGGTATATATTTATTCTTTCTGGTTTCTACTATCATTTTCTAGAGCGTGACACTTGGGGATGAAGAGGCCAGTCGCAGGGGTGTTCAGAAGACAGTACTGGAGAGGAAAGGCCCATCAACATTTAGTTGCGGAGTGGAGATTATTTCAAAGACGGAGCTACGCATTCACCGTAGCCTTGAAGCAACTGTAGATGCTATACTTTCTGGTAGTCTGCCACCCTGGCAAAATGAGTATTTACAGTGGACTGATTTATAACTTTTTGCTGTTTCGCTTGTTTGTGTAGGTCGTTTTCCCCATGTAGAAGTGCGCAAGATGAAGTCTCAAGACGAGGAAGAGATTTCACAAAAGGGACCTGTTATATACACTTCTCTTGAAAAGAATGGTGAATTTATGTTTGAAGATGCTCCAGATGGGCCTGATGACCAAACTAGCCAAAAGGAATCACCTTCCAGGTTGCCTATTGAAATGGTAGAGGATTCCTGGGAACACAGGTTGCCACTTCGCCTGTTTTGTTATGGGGTAAGAAGACATACTCAGCAGCTTAGACAAATATATGTGATAAACATTGGTATTATCACAAAGTTAACTGCTGTTTTGCATACTTATCTGCTGTTTGTTTCTAAATTATCTTGATGCTATTTATAATTATGTAAGTTTGAAGTTTTTAATCCCTAGAAAGAAAATTTGAGTTTGGAGTTTAATGAAAGGATATTAACACAATTGAGTCCCAATTAACTCGTAGATCAGTTTTGCCTCAGAAAACGATGAACTGAAATTCTTTGATTTCTGCAATTACAAATCACCTTCCCGTCCTCTCTTCCCGCATTAACCCCCTCACCCCATAAATATCCAATTAACTTATTTTTAATAATCTTTTTTATGCTTTCTTCCAATGCACTAGAATTTCAAGGGAAAGATATATGAAAGGGTCAAGTGTCATCCCATTTTTACCTTCAATTGCATATATCATTCTATATTTAGATTTAAATTTTTGTTCTCCCTGCATCAAGGACACCACTAAGGTCAATTGGCTTTTAACATTTGTGAATCACTTTGTGTGAAACTGTAATGTCTTAGCTACATGACTAATTTCCTCTCTAGGCACAAATAAATAAATAAACAAGAAAATAAAGAAGAAAAAAGTAAAGGAAAAGAATGGGAGAAGGAGACAGAAAGATCCTATCTCTTACAAAAATGAATAAATAAATAAATAAATAAATAAATAAAAAGAAACAAAAGAAGGAAAAAGTAAAGGCAAAGAGAGGGTGGGAGGAGAGAGAGGAAAAATAAAAGGAAAAAAGCAGTAAAATGTCTTTTTGGATGCTTTTGTTGCAATTGAAAAGTGAGTGAGCAAGAGATTGAGAGGGGAAAATAAAATGAAAAGGACCAAGTTGAACTGAATCAATTTTCCTTACATGTTTATGCTTCTTTCTTTTATTTAATGTTTTTTAGTGCTTTTGTTTTTGATTACAGTGCCGACAATTAATAAATGTTGCTTATTGTATGTCAAAAATAAATCCTGCAATCATAGGCAATATTGAGTTTACAGGACTGTGGTCAAGCAAAGCATTGAATGATGCATTCTTTTTTTCTTTTCATATTTTTTTATTGGGTTTTTAACTTACAGAATGGTCAGTAATTCTAGATTTTAGAGGCAACTGTTATACAAGGGATTAAACAGTTGAAAATGAATGATGCGGCCCTTCAATTGACGGATAATATTAGTGAGGCAAATGCTTTACTTGCCCTGCTATCCAAGCTTAAGAAGAACCTGAGGATTCAGGCTGCTGCTAAATCTCATGATATTCCCATTTATGTGACGAAGGTAATAATTAGCTAAAATTGCTTTTTTAGCTAAACAGCAACACTGTCAAAATTTTGCTAAAACATTATTCTTTTTCTAGACAAGTTCTTTGGAGCAAGTAACAAAAGCCATACGAGCATTAGTAAGTGATCATGAAGATGGTTTAAAGGATTTTGCATCAATGGATAAGATAAAACTATCAGAGAAGGTTGATGCTTTGGAGGTAATATAAATGACATTTGATTTAGTTCTTTCCTCCTTTTTTCTTTATTTTGAGGGAATAAATTCATGGTCGAAATCACTAAGCTCTGTAAAATGCATAGCTCAAGTCCTAAATTTAGCTCTAGACATATGGAAATGGATTCAGAAACTACCATTTTAACTATCTGGACTCTCTGAGTCCGCTTAATTCTCTTGTATTATGGCCTGACGATGGTGTCTTCCTTCGCATTTTTTCAGCTTTATACCTTAAGCTATGACGTTCCTTCATAATTACATATGATGATAGAGCCAAAAGAAGCTAAAAGTGAATATTCATTAGCTACATATAAAATTAGCAGTGAAAATACAGTCATGAAAATTGCATGACGAGGCCAAATGCAAAGAGTAAATTTTCCTTTGTGGCCTTTGGGGGTAAAATCAATAATTTACTGGTTGCTTGACCAATAGATCATGGGTTCTAATACAAGAAATATTGTTTTTAAAAAAAATGCTATAGTAGGGTTGTGATACAAAGATTTCCCTCACTCTTATCCTCAGAAGTCAGAATTTAATAGGGACTGGTGTTTTTTTGTTGTTGTTGCGACACTTGAAAATATGATGGCAAGGGTGATGCAGCTGAATGCGGAGTTGCAGTAAAGTTGACTTTAATATGGGAATGGAGTGAAGAAAATTGACTGAGGTGGCATCAACAGATGCCTCAGGATCAATGTGATTGTGGTGAAGCAACAATCCAGAGCGATGACAAGGGCAGCAGCAATAACCATGTTGCATGGTGGTGTTGCTGTGCTTAGTTGAATTGGTTGTCATGGTGGTGACAATGAAATAAACGCTAATCATAATAGGGTGGTTATTGTGACATGATGATGGTGCTATTGGGAGGTGGTCATGAGGTAACCATGGTTATCTTTGGCAAGGACTGCTGCATGGTGTAAACACATCTATCTGATAAAAAACGAGAGAATTGGTGGTTGCATATTCATGAGTGAGGACACTAGATTCGGATATCCTCCCCTTCCCCCCCTTTTTCCATCTTAATTTTTTTCTTATTTTTTTCCATTTGTAAGTTTTGCTTTTTTGGTCAAATTCACATATGATGATTAATTACAGATATTCTCATATGAATAAATGTCATTGCCAAAGTGTTTACTGTATTATTCAGCTAGGACAATGAAAACACAGTTGTGATATTTTATGCTGGAGACATTTTATAACTGAAAGTCAATCCTTCAATTAAAGAGACTCATGAACACTTGGCACAACATCTTTCTCATATTTCAGGAGGCAAGAATGGCTATAGAGCATGTAGTAATTCCAAAGGCAGAACCTGTGGATCTACTCCCAAGGTCATCTCACATATTATCTCTTCAGCTGGACCTTGTTCGTAAATACCAACTAGAAGCAAGGAGAATCACTGGGGAGTCAGATGTACATCTGCGTATCTTTCCATCCAATTATGGGACAGATGAAGTAAAATCTAATGAAACTTCTGACTTTGTTGGTGAATTTGATGATTTGGCCTCCTCCAATGGCACTGCCAATGGTTCACTCAACAGCTCGGATAGATTGCCCCTGCTACCTGATTAGTTAATAGGTCTACCTGATTAGTTAATAGGTCACTTAAATGTATATATTGTATAACTTATTCATACGTTATATACTCGTAATTTATGGAGAGTCTCATGCCTTGTAGCCTTCATTTGTATTGTTGCGTCTGCCTTATCGTAATTGGTGAGTAATATGTGGAGACCTATAAGTCGAGAATTTCTTTGGTGGGTACCTTTTTTTCTCCGTGGAAAGTTTTCTCCTATTTCAATCCAGTTTTAAATTTATATTTTTGGTATGCGGTATTTCGGGATTTTCAAAAAATTGAATTTTTTGAAATTTTTAATTTTCGGATATTATTATAAACTGAATGTAAAAATCATATTTCTGAAAATCGAGATTTTTGGATAAAAAAAATTTCTCCTCTACCAAACGTCCGAGGGGCTATGGTATGTGGATTTTCCTTGAAATCTTGGGAAAATGGGGTGGGAAAAAATATAGGAAGAAGAGTGAAAATATTTTCAGGAAATTTTTTTTCCTATCATTTTATTTTACACTATTGGGACGTTTGGTAGAGAAGAAATTTTTTTTACCAGGAAAATATAATTACTGAAAAAATGGTAGGAAAGTCTATTTGATGGAAAAGTTTAAAAAAAGATGTTTGGTTGATCGAAATATTACCAGAAAAATTTATTTAAATTTGTAAAATTTATGTTCCGAAGAAATTTCGCATCTGTTTTTGCACTTCTCTAGTTATCTCAAAATACATAATCTCAAGTGGTATTTTGTAACAGTGAATTTCACCTAAAAATTAACACCAAAGTCATCTTATTTGCCCAGTATTTTTTTTTCAAAAACTTGAACCAAATATGATATTTTTGAATATTCACCCACACTTTCCCATCAAACCCAAAATAAAACTTCTACCAAATAAACCCTATAGATCCCCACATTAAAATATTATCTCATCCATGATATTTTTTTTCCCCATCGCGTATGAAAGGATTAACAATTTTCTCAGACCAATTGAATTAGGGCCTGTTTGATAGGAGTGTTTTTGTGAGAAATCCTTGAAAAGCTTAATAGGGATCGTAAGTAATCCATGTTTGGGAGAGGAAATCAAAAATATCTCCCTTGATTCGACAATTTCTCAGGAAACGGTCGTAGTGCAAATTAGTGACCCAAATTCCATGAACAAATACCACAAAATATGTGGTATTTCCATAATCTGGTTTGTTGGAAAAATTCAACAGCTTTTTTGGGACTTTTTTTACCCTTTCCAGAAATTGATACTTTCGTTCCTGATTTTTTGTTGTTCCAAAATCTAGAAATCAACTTGATTCTTTCATCAATCATCAACTCCAGCGTCTGATACGTCAAGGAGGCCCAATAGAAGCAGAGGAGCCCCAATGTGGGCCAAGGATTATGCTGTCAACATGTAGTGTCTAATAGATTAGTCATTTGGAATGTGTATAGTTAGTTGTTACTTTCAGACGGTTAATTTCTGTAATCTGTAATTGGAATTACATGGTTAAGAAGGTATAAGTAGGAAAACTTGTAAACTTCTGATATTCATTCATTCAGTAATCAATCAAAAACAGTATTCATTCTATTTTTCTTGTTCTCGATAAGAACTCCTCTTATCATTGGTGCTTTCATTGTCATCATCATGAGGATACAGGAACTTGCGGAAGAGTTTTCATCTCTTCAACTCAAATTCAACAAAGACTGGGGAGAATCATGCTTTCCAAGTTCGTATTGACCAGCGTTTTGTGGAGAGCCAACGCGAAACCCAAAACCAATTGGGCAATTTGGCTGCGCAATTGCAGCAACTGCATGAGTTGATTCTTGGCAGAGAGGAACGTGCGCGAAATTCTTGGCCATCATCAGAGGTTGCATCTGCATCTTTCGGTACCCATAAACCCACGATGTCCGATTTTACCGTACCCTTGAAGACGGTACGCATGGAGATTCCTTCTTTCAATGGGACAAATCCACAGGGTTGGATTTTCAAAACCGAATTGTACTTCGATTTACAGCACATTCCAGAAGAGTTTAAGGTGCGTCTTGCTGGGTTAAAAATGGAGGGACCAACTTCCCCTTGGTATCAATGGCTGTTTAATGGAGGATCGATTGGCACCTGGCATGACCTCAAGATTGCAGCATGCCAACGTTTTGGTGGTTCTGCATACATGGATCTTAGGGGCGTTTTGTCTAAACTCACACAAACAGGTACTTTATCAGATTATACACAACAGTTCGAGTCATTGATTAATCAAGTGACTGGATTTGCTGATGATGTCTTAATGGCATTTTTTGTATCGGGCCTTTCTTCTGAGTTACGAAGGGCTGTTCAACTTCATAACCCTACTACACTTCATCAAGCAATGCAATTGGCATTAGTGTATGAAGCCCACTTTGTTGATCTTCGTTCATCATTTTCCTCCAATACATATACACCTAAGAAGCCATTCCAGAAATCCATTCCATCTTCAGACAGTACCCATACCAGCCATATTTCAAACACATTAGCCTTACCATCCACCATAACTCCAGTTTCAAATCAACTTTCCTTACCTTCCAATTTACCTGTTAAGAAGTTGTCCAATGAATACTTACAAAAGCGTCGCGAAATGGGTTTGTGTTATACATGCGATGAGAAATGGACTTCTCGACATCGCTGTAAAGCTAAACTTTTATTTTTGATTGGTGATATGGAAGAGGACAATTTGGATGCTGAGGAGCATATCGTGTGGCAACCGGATGCTACTGACATGGCACCTTTGGATGCAGCCTTACATTCCTTATCAGGGAATACCAGCTCTCGATCATTCCAATTCACTGTTAGCATATGAGTCAATTCGATTTTGGCCCTGGTTGATTCTGGCAGTTCGCACAACTTTATCAAGAGGGAATTGGTAGACACTTTGGGTTTGCTTGTGTCCAAGACTCAGAAGATGAATGTTTACTTGGGCAATGATACCTTTATGCTATGTGACAAGAAGTGTTCTAATGTCTCTATTCAGATACAAGGACATTTTTTCACTGCTGATTTTTGGGTGATTGACTTAGCTATGTCCACAGGCATAATTTTGGGATTCATGTGGCTCGAACAGTTAGGTAAGGTACTCCATGATTATGGTGAGATGACTATGAAATTCATGTGGGATGGCAGGTTAGTTGTTTTATATGGTGATCCAAAATTTTGTCCAACGATCAGCTTGCTAAATGTTTTTCTTTATCAGCAATCGATTCCTCATCTGTTCAATCTGATATACTGCCTGACTTGGTTGCTATTAAGGATCATGTTCCAACCAAAATTTGGTTATTGTTAAGCAAATTTCAATCTGTTTTTCAACTTCCCAAACAACTTCCTCCTAAGAGAGATTGTGATCATGTCATCTACTTGATTCCTGGTTCTCAAGCAGTCACTGTAAGACCATACCAATATGCATATCATCAGAAGTCTGAAATTGAGCATCAAATTTCTGATTTGCTAGCAGCAGTCTTTATTAAGGAGAGTCATAGCTCTTTTTCATCTCCGGTGCTCTTGGTGAGGAAAGCAGACCAGAGTTGGAGAATGTGCATTGATTACCGTGCTTTAAACCAGATTACTGTGAAAGACCGTTTTCCAATTCCAACAATTGATGAGTTGTTGGATGAATTGAATGGGGCAGGGGTGTTCTCTAAATTGGACTTACGCAGTGGCTACCATCAAATCAGGTTAGTTCCTGAAGACACACATAAAACTGCATTTCGTACACATGATGGGCATTATGAATTCCTTGTTATGCCATTTGGATTAACAAATGCACCCTCCACGTTTCAATCTGCCATGAATAAGATGTTTAGGCCTTATTTGCGCAAATTCATCATTGTTTTCTTTGATGACATACTAATCTTTAGCAAGACTTTGGATGAGCATGTCCTTCATTTACAGGTGGCCTTGGACTGTCTTCTTACTAACAGCTTCTTGGTCAAATTAAGCAAATGTGCTTTTGCTCTTCCAGAGATAGATTACTTGGGGCATTTAGTTTCAGCTCATGGTGTTAAGGCAGATCCTAGGAAGGTCGAAGCTATGCTCCACTGGCCTCTACCCACAACTGTAAAACAATTGAGAGGTTTTTTGGGCCTCACAGGTTACTATAGACGATTCGTACGTCAATATGCCACAATTGCTTCTTCTCTTACGGATTTACTCAAGAAAAATGAATTTTCTTGGAGTGATGCAGCTCAACAAGCCTTTCAACGGTTAAAAGAGGCTATGGTTTCCACCCCAGTCCTCATATTGCCTGACTTTAATCTTCCTTTTGTAGTAGAGACAGATGCCTCCTTAACAGGTGCTGGAGTTGTTCTGTTGCAAAATGGCAGACCAGTCTCGTTTTTTAGCAAAAAGCTGGGCCCACGTCTCCAAGCTGCTTCCACCTATGTACGTGAGCTGTATGCAGTCACTGAAGCGGTGAAGCGGTGAAGCGGTGGCGTCCTTATCTGCTAGGCTCTTCTTTTGTTATTCGAACGGATCATCATAGTCTTAAGGAATTGCTTTCACAAACTGTTCAAACCATCGAGCAACAGAGATACGCATGCAAGTTAAATATGATTTCACAATTGAGTACAAGCCAGGTCCTTCTAACATAGTTGCTGATGCCTTGTCTCGAAGCTATGAAGAACCAACTGCGGCCACTGTTATGGCTTTGTTCTCTGAGCCTTCATTCCAACTGTTGGATGATATCAAGAAGGAAAATACCACAGACCCTTATTTGCTTCAAATCCATCAACAGCTGTTAGACCATACTGCTGTAGATCCTCTAATCACCCTTAAAGATGGCATTTTATTCCATAAACATCGCTACTTTCTTGGTCCCACTTCCAGTATTCGTGAGCTCTTGATGTCTGAGGCACACTCTTCCTAAATTGGTGGCCATGCTGGTATTACACGTTCCTTATTACGCATATATGCAACTTTTTATTGGCCTAGGATGCGCAGGGATATCACTAAGTTTGTCCAAAGTTGTTCCACTTGTCAGTTGATTAAAACTTCCACAGCTCCTCCATTAGGACTTCTACAACCTTTGCCCATTCCTCAAGGTGTTTTTGAAGATTTGACACTTGATTTTATCAACGGCTTACCTGCTTCTCGTGGATTCTCTACTATCTTAGTAGTGGTGGACCGCCTCACCAAGTATGCTCACTTTGGTGCATTACAATCCCACTGCACATCTTCC